CATTTCTAGTCAGTGGATACAACCCTGCTTCGTTTACTATCGCCCCGCCACAGCCACGTCGTGGACAATTATTACACGTGACGTTTTTCCGAAACACGCGAGACAGAGATGCCCTCCCGCTGACACCCGGTGGTGACCGTGCTGTGGCCCAGGTGAATCTCTTTTCCTGTTGGAATCTTCCCGATAATGCTGGAGAGGTTGTTGGTGGTACAGCAGAGATTACCAATATTTGGGTTTTCTTCGCCGCGCAGAATCCTGCTAGCCGAGGTGCTTCCCAAGTTCGTGTCTGTTATCGGTTAGAGGATGGATCATGGAGCGAAGTACCAGGGAATGTTTTTTTGCTCCAGCCAGCGAACCCATTTAGCTTCACTGTGTTGAATGGGCCTGCGAGGGTGCAGCAGCTGAATCAAATTTTATTCAGAGGAAGTTCACTTGGTGCGATGGATCGCGTGAAGATCATTAAAAAGTCTGAATTGTGTACAGATGCATCCGTCCCACCGAGTGAAGTAGTATCGCGTGCATTAGACACCGGAGACGCCATTCCCGGTACAGCAGATGGATGGACCGTGACAAACGCCACAAGCACAACGACGATGCTCAACATGAGCAGCACCATCAGAGGAGAATTTATTTTTTGTTATAAACTCGCAGCAGATACCGTTTGGACACGTGTTTATGGTGAACTGTTCATTGGCTCGCGTGATCCTGCAGAAGTTGTCCAGACCCCAGGAAACGCCGTGGAAGGTGAACTCTTCACACTCAACTTCACTGCGTCAGAGGACTCACCCTCTTTGTCGGAAGGTGATCGCGTTGCATTTTACACCGGCGATCTCTCCTGCCTTGTACCAGGCCATGACGCAGATGTCATTATCACCTCTCCGTCCCGCACGGATTTGTTGCCCAGGAATCTGTTATTCCAGCTTGCGGCAGGAACAATTGGGAACCATACGTTATGTTACTGGAAATCCAACGGCAACGTTATTGTTTGGGGCTTTGAAACTGTGGTGATTGGGCGCAATCCATGGAACTACACGACGCATCCCGCCGCGACATTCCTACGAGCCAACCAACTCGTCAGTGCTATATTTTGGGGGTTTGGTCTCATTGCAGATCCAGTTGCGGAAAAGAGCGATCAGGTAAGGTTTATACCCACCAGAAACCCTCAGACAGATGCAGCGTGCCAGACAATAGCGCAGGAAACGAGTGTGGTGAACTATCCATTAACTGCCAATGGTACACTTTCGGTACAGGTTGTTCGCTTCACTCCTCCTGCTGTGGGTTTTTACTGGGTATGCTACAAACTTAACGGTGGACAATTCAAAGTCATGGGTGGAGATGCGTTGGTGGTGGGTGCGGCTAACCCATGTGGTGCGATACCGGCGAAAAATGTGAAAACGCTTTGGGATGGCGAGATGAATATTTGGACCATTGACGCGAGAACGGCGCCCGTGGAAGGGGGCATTGTTTTTTACAGCGTGCATCAATGCAATAACTTCCCGTATTATGTGACACCAGAGCCATCAATTACTCAATTCCCTCATGGCGTTGCCGTTGTTCGGAATGGCGTGGCCTTACTTCGTACAGGGTCTCCAACAGGTGATGGTGTCATAGTCTCACTCTGCTATTACGCTGAAGGGGTGATTACAATGTTGTCAGAGTCTGTGATGCAGGTCGTGGAGGGGGTACCTCCCGTATTGAAAGAGCCCGTCCCCGCGATGGCACTTCAGCTGTTTCGGTTTGGTCTCGCTGTCATTCCCACACCGCTTGACTACGTTGTGCTTGTGGCAAATTCGGACGACTGTGTTGGACTGACCGCGCCGGCGTCTTCTAGCGAAATATTTATAAGCTTTGTTACTGAAGGTGACCAAATTGTTGTCACCACCGCCGTTGAATTAGAAGGTACATTTTATATCTGCTACTCTCACCGAGTGGGCCCCTGCGGTGAAAACGCCACCGAGGAGTGTGCCCGAATAGTTGGCACGGTGTTGGCGTCAGCACCCAATCCTTCCGATTGGTTTATGACGCCTAACACTGTTTACACCTCTGAAGAGGCGGAGATTCACCTTGTACGTCGATTGGGTAATGTAGCAGGGGCGATGGAAGAACTTTGGCTCACTCCTATCAACATCACTCAAGACACCACCATGAAAGAGGTCGCACTGGCATGTATAGCGACGATGACTGGAGGGGATCGCATTGTACTACAGCCGCAAGTGAATCAAAGCAACGTGTGGAAAACCCGGTTGAATGTTGTGGCATCTTACGCCCTTTGTTATCTCTCTGAAGGTGCCGCGCTTCCAACCATTTTTCCGCCCCTATCACGAGCCGGACCGGTGGTTCAGTTAACAAATGTGGCATCTGTTGTTTTCCCAGTGGCACCTGTAGTAGGCACAGCCGCCGCCGTTATTTTACAAGGACGTGGTTTGTCGCAGGACGATCAGCTCGTGGCAGTTGGTGCTTCGGCAACTGGATCCATACCTGCCGATATATGTACCAATTCAACCTATACTCCACGTGTTACGGCGGAAGCCTCTAAGTCGGGATATGGTCTTCGTGACATGGTTTATCACCTGGTATTTGAGAGCCCTGGCAGTTACGTGTTGTGTTTCCAGGCGGTGGCGTCCACGGGACCCATGGTTCTTATTACACCCAATTCTTTTGAGGTGGATCTCACGGTGCTGAGTTTTACGGTGGTCTCTGTTGCACTGACGGATACGCCAATAGAACTGGAGTTCCGAGGGAGTGGTTTGCGTGCAAGCGATGAGGCGGCGTTGGTTTTTCTCCATCCAGACACTGTTGCAGAAAGTGACATCTGTGCACATGGGAAATACACGGCGGTGTCAAGTGCCAGTCCCGATGGCACCACCAGTCTTTACGTTACGGTGGTCACGAACCCGGGCACTTATGCAGTCTGTTACACAAAACCGGGTTTTACACCGATACTGTTGCCAAATTATCTCAGCGTCTCTGTGAGAACAGCCACTGGGGCAAGGTTCACAGTCAGGCCAAGTTGCTCGGCGTTGTCAGCCTGTTCCCCGCAACCGGTTGTGGCTCTCATAAATGCCTCCGGAGAACCGACGTCTGATCCAGGAGCCACGGTTGTGATGCACCTAAATTTGGAGAATGGAACGGCTGCCGATGAACTTCTTTCTGGAGGTGCAGTTTACACACAGGAAGAATTCAGTGTATTTTACTTCTTTGAAATTACAATCTCTACCGTGGGAACATATGTTATGGAGGCGGAGTTTACCTTGCGCGGGGGAGTACGTCTTGTTGCGAGCCTTCCGAATCTCGTTGTGACAAAGGATGGAAGAAAAGAAGTTATGGCGGTTGTCACGTGTGTTCCCGTAGGAATCATTGAACGATCTCTACTGAGTCCTGGTCAGAGCAATCCAAATGTGAATATTACATGTGTCATAGAGACAAAGTCCCCTTTGGCGCCCAAGGCGTACACGGTACAACTCAACGCAGGGAAAAGTACGGATGTGGTATTGGATGGTGACAGCACTGCGGGTCTCCCTCGATATAACTTTACTGTCAATCCACCGTATGACCAGCCTTTGATTCAATTTGTTTCTATTGTTACCGAGGCGGCCCCACCATTCCAAAGTTGGCCAGTCATGAATTCACCCGTGATTGTTCGTATTGGATCCATACCTGAGGAGAACAGTACCCTGTTTTGTGCATCCAATTCTATGGGTTTGCCCTCTAAAACAATGGTTAGATTGAATGACAACTTGACATGCCAGGCACAAGG